CTTGAGAGCCTTCTGGAGTGGGCCCTGTAAGTGCCCACTCTTGGCCGCCGTCTTCAAAATAATATCGCCGGCCTCCAACACGCGCTGTCCGATGTCCTCGCGGGGCGTGTCCTTCATTTGCAACGCCAGGAGGTCACGCTCCTCGAGGTCCTTTCGAGGGACCCTCGCATCCAAGATGTCTCGGATGAGAGAAGTCCCAGCCTCCTCCTCGGCCAACCTATCCTTGGCCTCCTGCCGCTTTAACTTGTGGGCGTAGTCCCCAGTAGTTACGGGGCGGCCCCTGCTTCGTTTACGGGCGGGGGGTTTGAGCTCCCCCCCATCACCGTATAACCTAACCTTTTTTGTTTTAACAAGGAGGTGAAATATCATTACACACGCCCGGATGTTGTTGGGGAGTGTGGGACTCGCGCCTAGGGTGCTCTACCCACCAAAACCCCTCCTCGATCACGACCAACGAAACCTACAGGTGACCTGAACTTGAAATCAAATACTATTTCGGGCATCCGCCCACTCAAACCCGGCGGGGATAGGGCCTCCAACTCTAAGACTCTCTCTCTCCTTGAAACTCGCATCGCAAATTGAACCTAAGGAGAGAGAGAGAGAGAGACTCATACTAATATATATAACACATATATTTACACATACATATTCTTACACACACACATACATATGCATGTCCATAAACATGTATGTACATTGTACTCAGTCGGCGCCATCTTGGAACTCCGTTAGTCAGTGACCCTGAAAAGGGCTCATCAGAGTACCTCGGGATTGATCCCATACCTCTATCAAACAATATTATCTACTCTCCATCAACACCACCAACCGCTTCAACCGACCCGGAGGAATCAGCGAGGACGTCCGTCCCAGGCTTGAACCCCAAATTGGCGGTAAGAATTTTTTCTTTTGGGTTTCGTTTCTACGCGTTAGTAATGGTAATACTAAGTTCTGTGCGAAATTTCAGCCCGAAAAAACCAACAGCGCGATTTCCACGGGATGCGAGAAGACCGAGCACCCTCCCAGTTATTACGGTCACCGCCCGTACACAGCTTGACTTCGGTGATCGGACAGGAACCGGTAGTTTCTACACGGCTAAAGCCGCAGGTAGTTAGTCAGTGACAAGTATTGTATGCTGCCCTGAAAAGGACTCAGAGTACCGAGGAGCTAATCCTATAACCTCTATTAAGCATGATTTCTATACTTCTAGGTAGACACTGCCCCGAAACGGGCGATGGAAAAATTTAGCCACGCCGTTGAGCGTTTTCAGCGGATGATCCCTTTTGTTACGTTGCTAGTTCGACCGGCCAATAACCTCGCCGCCAGGACTACCACCGCATCCACGGGGAACCACGGGGAGGCGGACTCATCAGTGCACGCAAGCACTGCGCTCTGACCCTGTTACCGGCAAAGGAGTGAGATGACTGAAGAACGCCGATGCACTGGTTTCACCTTAATTTATTAAAATCTAAAGGCGATGGTCGGCGTACAGTTCGCCCGGAATAATACAATTGTTTTGTTCGCTGATCGTCCCGGCGGCAGCGGTTCGGCGGGTACGTTTCGATGGCTGGTAATGGAAAAACTGACCGGAGGTGTAGGCGCACTGGGTTTTTTATATTGTTAGGACAGGGAGACAGGAATAAAGATAGATAAAGATAGAAGTAGAGAAAGTGGTGGAAACGGAAAATTTGTAGAAAGCGGGGCCGTTCGTCCTCGTGCAAACCTGGATGTCACATGTGCGCTTCTTAGGCTATTCGAGGACGAAGGCAAGTCTTAACCCGGGGAGAGACAAAAAAACGGAAACTAAAATCTGAAGGAGTTGGAAACGAGAAAGTTCGCGTAGAAGAATAGAACAAGATTTGGTAAGAGTTTGTTGGCAACAACGTACCCGCCACAGGAGAATAGGGAAAGGCGGTGACTAAGATGGGGAAAAAGATTTGGTAAGGGTTTGTTGGCAACAACGTACCCGCCACAGGAGAATAGGGAAAGGCGGTGACTAAGATGGGGAAAGGTAGAAAAAAAGGCACTCGATCGGGCGGGTGCCAAAGCTCAGGTCAGTGAGGTCGCTAACCCCAACGGTGTGCACTCTCACCGCCCTTGCCGATTTACCAGCCCCCCACCAGGAAGCTTGATGCATATGGGCCATTTGGTCTGAGACACCGACCCGCAGCGATGCAGTAAAGAAGTCAAGCTCAGGTGCGGATCGCTAGACCTCGAGTACCCTCTGGCACCCCCCTGTAGGAAGTAGATAGGGACAGTGAGAATCTCGTTAATCCATTCATGTGCGTCACTAATTATATGACGAGGCATTTGGCCATTTTTTTTTTTAGGGAAATGCATTAGACACACCGATCAGATGGAATAGACCGGTAGTGTGGAACTCTCCTGTCGTTTAGGGCATGCCCACTAAATCCACCACCTTGTATTATGCCTGAGTATGGCAGGTAGCACCCTGCAAAATCCAGAGCGCCTTCTCTCGTTCATCCCATCTGTTCTTCGAACAGTATTGCTTCTTATTGTGGTTGTTCTATTGAACTTCCAGAAGCTGTTTAATCCTCCAATCAAGGTACAAGGTGCAATGATTTTTAACTCCTTCTTCTTGTTATAAAAAGGTGTACGGCTAATCCCACCGCTGTCACCTTTTTATTAAAGGGTTTACGGCTCGCGTTCCGAACGGTCGTCGGTAGGTTGTCAGGTGCTTGCGGAATTCAACCGGTATCACCAGCCTTGCGACGTCGTTCGGGTTTTGGTCCTAATATAAAAGCGCGTGTTTCCCGATTCGCGGTAGACGTGGGTACAGATAGGAGGGCTCGGACGTGCCAACGTATGGTTAACGAAGGTAGCCGAAGGAGGAATGGTTAACGCCGCGTGCCACCGGACAGTGTGTCGTAGGTGAGATAGGAGGTCTCGGACGTGCCAACGTATGGTTAACGAAGGTAGCCGAAGGAGATGGACCATTAGCGTATAGTTAACGCCATGTGCCCCCGGATATGAAGGTATTTTGTATTCGCGAGTCGTAGTCGTTGATATACCTCGAGCGGTAAAGGTATATCTGTCGTGGGGTTAGCTGGTACGTTACTATACTATTCAGGATAGGTTTAATCGAATATAGACACGAGTATGACTCTATATTACTATATTCTATTATAATTACAATGGCTGATTCGTTACAATGTTTAATGTTAGTCGATTCTTGACTCGGCAAGAATCTTCCTTCTCGACTTTACGCGGTGAGAGCGCGGAGGAGTCGTGTACAGTACTATTTGGTTGACACTTACGCGTTGTGTTATTGCTCGACTAAGATTTTTCGTGGTGGGGAACGTTAGATTTCCGTGGGAATGGAATGCGAGCTCATCCCTTGGCTTGGCGACTATCGGAGGGGTGCGTGCTAGATTAAACATTCAGCGCCGTACGTTTCGGGTAGAACGCGTACGTAACATTCTTGAGGATGCCTTTTTCGACCAATTGGTTAGATGAAGTTTCGCTCCATACTCCGCTGTAAAAGAGCGTAGCTGTTATATAAGATACATTTTGTACACCTTATCTGTTCCTAATGTCCTTCTCGAGATGTTGGTATTTATCAATTTTATTTTTGTGAGCCAGATCCAAACTCATGTTCGCTAACTAATTGTGTGTCGAACACCAGAGCTGCTGCTGCATGTGTTGCAATAAGGTCGAGTTTCCTTAGACCAAGGTCTGATGTAAAGTGAGGCTCCTCCTCGGCCCTCTCGTATTTCTTTTCCAAAGCCCTTTTGATATATGCCGTATAGCATTGTGTCTCTATTCTAGCTTTGTGCGTTCGGTGGCATTGTTGCAACACATGGTTAATTGTTTCTATAACATTGCAGCCAGCTCTACATGCTTTGGATGTTCGACGTCCTTGTGATGTTCTGGATCTGATAGGCAAGGCGTTTATCCTTAATTTGATGCTATTTATATAGTCTCTTCCATTTAGGAAGCGGGTTCCCCCGATTACCCACTGATGTTGGTGTGGGGTCTGTTGAGCCGCGTCCTTTGGACAGCCCTCGATGTACCGTTACGGTACCGGTACGGTATTGTTTGTGGAATAATAGGCGAGCCTTAACTTTCGCGACCATTGACGGGCAGAAGGACTGGCAATGGTTTTTTGGGAAAAAGCCCGATTCTTGTCGCTTCTGTCTTTGTCTCCGACTGCACACGTACCACGCACGCGAACAGCCAATTACCTCACCCTTACCATTTCCACCTCATTTTTCTTGCTCAATCATATGCATTTCCATGTCACCCGCGTCTCATAGCCATCCTCGTTCAGAGAGAGTTACATTTCATCCCTCGACAGTTACAATTCATCCTTCACCAGCCACAAGTCAACCTTCTCGCACATCAATCATTCGCACTCATACACTACAAAAATAAAGAGTTCAAAAACGGTTGCTAAGTGTAACTCAGTCCACCTACAACCAGGCTGAAGTGATTAAGTTCACAACAGTTAACGTCCCTACAGCAACGGCAGAAGCACTTTGAGACGGGTCTTACAACCCCGTCGTGTTCCATAGGAGAATACACGGTGTGCGGGATGCAACATTTGGTCCTTCGAGCCGAATCAAGAGCAAAAAACAGCTCGGTTCACAACCAACCACGAAGATCAAGCGCTACTGGAGCCTTGATCTTACCAACGACGACAAAGAGGACACACCACCACAGGGGTACTGACGGCCTTCGATCACTGGATCAGTGATCCACGCACGCATCGCTGAAGGAAGACGCTGCGTACCAGGGGTAGCAGCCCTCAGTCGAACGCAGATCATCGGATCATCGCAGCTTCAACGGCCGACCGCATCAAAGACGGCACAGGCGCACGACAAGGACAGCGGTAGAGGTTAGCCATTCACGCCTCCTCACCTTCAAGGAGTCATTGCAGGACAACCACGTCGCCGGTGAACCTCACAAATCGTAAGTCAAATACTGGTCTATCACTATCCTTACATTCCTCTCACTTTCGCCTCAACACGAAAAAATTAAATATGTCTACGTCGAACAACACGAGTAACGAACGCGAGCTCATTCGAAAACGCGGTACCGTGAAATCTAAATTGTCGATGTTCGTCAAATTTTTAAACTCATGCGACGAGTCAGAAACCGCGAATATGCATCAACTACATCTCAGAATCGTGCGAATCGAAAAGGAATTCGAACTCTTCGAATCGATCCAGGAGGCATTAGAGCTAGCCGCATCAGATGACGAATACGAAACGCGACTCGCGGAACGGTCGAACATCGAAGAAACGTTTTATAATAGTATAGCGCAAGCTGAACGATTAATAGCAATTTCCGAAGAACAGAAACAGGCGATTACGGATACTCAGCAAATAGCTGCTAATACTCCTCCTGTAATCGAATCGCGAGACGTTGCGGTAGAACAACCGACGAGATTCGGCGATACAATCGCGTACACGCAATCGCCATTAACGATTAATTCGGAGATGCAAATAAAATTACCGACCATGCATTTGCCGAAATTCTGCGAAACGTACGAGAACTGGCCAGGCTTTTGCGACGCCTTCAAGGCCATGGTGCACGACAATCCGAATTTCCGAGACGCGCAGAAATTAGTATCTTTGCGATCATGCCTGGTAGGGAAGGCCGCAGAAAAAATCAAGTCCTTGGAGACTACCGCGGCGAATTATTTTGTCACGTGGAGTATCCTCGAGAAATACTACGACGATCCGAGCATCGTAATATCGAATAGGGTACACGTGTTTTTCGAATTACCGGTGTGCTCGCGAACAAACGTGAATTCCTTAGGAGAACTGCTGGATCAAGCCACGAAACATTATCGGGCATTACAAGCGCTGACCCTTTGTGAAAGCTTTTCCGATACATGCGATCACCACGAAACTCGACGACCGTACGCGACTATTGTGGAAAGAGAATCTATGGCAGGATTTTACCGTCCATGGATGAGTTATTAGATTTCTTGCATGATCGGCGAAAGGTGATGGAAACGTCGAACTACGGTGGGTCGCATCATAATCGCGCGCAAACAAAGACGCGACTCGAAGCGAAACTCTGCGCTCCATTTAGGCAGCCGCAAGCAAATCTCGCGTATCCGACAGCCATTCCGTTTTGCAATTTATGTAAGGGCAGACATTTCACGCAAAGCTGCAGCAGTCTCATAAATGCAATCGTAACGCGACGGTCCGACATGGTTAAGAGCGCCGGACTTTGCACCAATTGCTTACCTCCCGCTCACGTAGCCAAAAATTGCAACGCTGGTAGACGTAAGTAGTGCAAGGAAAAACACCATACATTATTACATAAATATCGAACCAACTAACAGCAAACAACAGTACAGTTTAACGTTACAGCCTTAAACGCGCAGGTAACTTCAGAAATCTTCTTGTCGATCGCAGTCGTGAACGTTCTCGACAATAACGGACAACAACACCCCCTTCGGCTGTTGTTGGACTCGGGCTCACAATCTAACTTCCTAACGGAACGAGTGGCGCAAAACCTTGGTGCTACCGCGGCAGAACATAGAAATTCCGATAGTCAGGATCAATCAGGGAACCACCAAAATCACATATTCCATCCAGGCGACCATACAATCACGGATAAATTATTTCCAAAAGCACATACAGTTCTTAATATTGCCACAAATCACCGACACGATGTCATCGCGACCGTTTCCGAAGGGGTTATTCAAAATCCCACGCAATTTACCTCTGGCCGATCCGGGTTTCAATGCCCCCTCCCAAATCGACGGACTACTGGGAGCAGATTTATTCTTTAAATTATTGTGCATAGGACAGTTGACAATTGCAAACGGGTCAATTACACTACAAAAAACACAGTTAGGTTGGGTTCTAGCTGGTAAAAAAACCGGCAAAACAAGGCATAGAAGTCTTTGTGGGATAGCACGCGAGCCATTGCCCGAAGAGCTCGCTCGATTCTGGGAAATCGAGGAGATCCCGGATCGGACATCGGTTTCTGCAGAAGGGCGAGCGTGCGAAGCCCACTTTTCGACAAACACAACGCGTGATCCAAGCACCGGCAGATACATTTTTCGGCTTCCATTCGAGGAAAATGTTCAACAATTAGGAGAATTTTATGGTACCGCGCTCAGGCGATTTCATTCACTCGAGCGACGGTTTACGAAAAACGCCAAGTTGAAAAACCAGTACATTAGTTCCTTAAGTGAATACCAGAGACTAGGCCACATGTCACGGATCGAGTCACTGGCATCCGAAGGCAGTTATTATTTGCCGCATCACGCAATTTTTAAGGAATCGAATTTAACCACCGAACTTCGCGTGGTTTTCGACGCCTCAGCCAAAACATCGAGCGGAATATCGTAGAACGACGCGTTGTTAGTAGGTCCGACTATACAAGACAAGTTGTGTCATCTAGACACCAATTTCACGCAGCCGGTCCCAATATGGATCCTTGGGGACACCCCCTTTGGACCTCATGGGTTATTATCTGATGTTTGCTATTGATCTGTATCTTTCTCTGTTTGAAGTAGTTGTTTACCAACTCTATGAGTGTCGAGCTACAGTGACACCGGACCAGCCGGGCTCTGATAGCAGGCCACAGGTTGCCGAAAACCCCGAATAATGCCAGAACATACTTC